AAAAATGACCAACTTTTGATAGCCATTTAAAGTACTATTCTGTCGCTCCGTTACATACACCTGTTATAACAGGGGGGGGGGCATAAGAACTAAGACTTTTTTACGACACTCTATACAACTACCAGACTTAACCGCGTTTACACTTGCGACATGTTTACTATACATGTCTAGGGAGGGGGGTCGCGTACCAAGTAAGTACACACGTTCCGTGAGAAAATATTTTCATATAACACTAGCTTGTTACGAGGTTGTTTTTTTTTTCTAGACATGTAAAGTATATATGTCGTTAGTGTAAACGCGATGTAATTGATTTCATGCCTTTATTGTGGTGGTGATCCTGGAGCTTTAAGGAACACGATTGTGTGGTCATCGTCATGCCATGCCGTCATTTTCTTCTGTGTTGTTGTTTGATCTGACACTGGCTAACTTGTACTGTTTGTCTGGCGTCCAGATCACCTCATTGGTTGTATACAACATCACCTCACTGTATACAACATCACCTAACAACTGGATTTATACATCACCGTACTGCGTGTAAACAACATCAGCTCACTGGTTTATACAACATAACCTAACCACTAGTTATATAACCTGGTCTAACCATACGCTTTTGTTTTTATATAGCTATCTACAGCGGTTAACTTTATTACGTTGGATTTACAACTGAACTAATCCTGACTTAAATTATGATAATTTCAGCACTTATGACAAGCGCCATAACTCTCCGAGTTTGCGCAGATAGTTCGTTATCTTCAGTAATCATGGGAGGTAATAAAGGATTTGCGTGCCGGCACGTTTTACTTTCTCTTGTATCGGCCTTGTAAGGATTTACGTCACCGGCCGAGAAAGCGCATCTAATTTCAGTAGTTTTGGGGTCTCGGTGACGTTCAAAGCATGTACACAAGCGTTCGTCGTGACAGTGTGTTGTGGAATGGTACACACGGTAGTCGTCCTTGTGTAGGCCGCACCAAGCGTAATGATAGCACTGTGTGATCTGTTTGATTGTGACCCATTTAACCAGGGAAAGGTAACTCTCAACTCGGTCTTTGTTTCTATTGTTAGGTATTGTTTTTAAGACCGTATAGACATTTTTTTTTTACTTTCTCGTATATACGAAGTATAGAAAAAGTCTTGTAATTGTGCAAAAAAAATCTCGACGTTTTACACCTCACTGATACGGAAAAACATAATTTTGCAATCTTGTTTATAGTTGTGTAACTGGACTTTTGATTTTTATTTTATTATTCAAAAGATGATTCTCTTTTTGTAGTAAGCATTTCTTTTATTTCACCCTCTATCGTATAATATACAATAATAATTTATGTAATTAATGACCTTTTAGGAATTGTTGATATTAATAAATGAAGGTATTGATTCAAATTCATCGCTTTAAAATTGTATATAGATCTATGTTGATCTATTTAAAACTATAACTTATATAAACTGTGTTTCACTCTGTACCATGTTTACATTAGTTAGCATGTGGGGCTATTTTCTTAGTTTAAACTTGATTAGATCAGTCCAACTTGACCCAGATTTTCAAGGCAGATAAATGGGTTAGTTAATTCAACGTAATCACTGCTATAAAACTGAGAATTATATCGAACGATTGACTATACAACTTTGGATTCAATTAACTCGTGCTTATGTTCTGTCCAGTTTCATGGTGAAATTTTGAATTTTTATACGGTAATTATTTTATATATAGCTCATGACAAAGGACTTTAAATCTAACTGTCTCTCTCTTCCCCCCTCCCCCCCCCACTCTCCTTATATTTCATTTGTTCCGAAGGGGACATCAACTAGTTGACGAGAATGTTTCCTTCATTATTGTTGACCTGGATACAAAATAAAAATCGTGGTTTTTCTGTTTTGCCTTCATAGCGGCCGTAAAAAAACTTAAAAGAATGTTACCGTTATTGGACAAATCGATTGAAATTAAGTTGAAATTTTAAAGCACGGGTTCCCAACCTGGGGGTCGCGACCCCCCTGGGGGTCGCGAAGGTCTTTCTGGGGGGTCGCCAACTGGTATACTGAACCTTAGTAATTTGAAACAAAACATAAATATTTAGAAGAATTTTTGAAATTCGGCTTCATTAACATCACTGGAAATGTAATAGAGAAGAAACAAAGCGCACTGTACAAAGCTGTTCTCAGTCACGAATCTATGAAATCTTCAAAACTAAAACGTCATTTGAGACAAGTCATTCGGAACACACCAAAAAATATATGGTCGTCGATAGGAAGCTAGTTGCAAACGCCAGAGACTTGATCGAACAGGAAGTTTTCACCAGCATTAGTGCAAGCATCAAATGAAGTCGCGATAGAAAATGCCAAGCAAAAAAAAAAAAAAAAAAAAAAAAAAAAACACAATAGGAGAAAATCTCATCAAACGCTGCATGTACGTTAATGTTAAAGAACACATTTTTATTGAAATTAAGCTTTCACCATTGTTTGCTTTTCAAGTTGATAAATCAACAGACGTGAGTTCGTGTTCGCAGTTGCTGGTCTGTGTCTACATTCATGCGGATGATAGCAAAGAAGAGTTGCTCTTTTATGAAGATAGCATGGAGAAAATAAATACCTTTTTTGAAATTGGATGATTAAAATGGGTTAGAACGGCTGTGGGGGTTTGTACGGATGGTGCGCCATCTATGTTTAGCTCAAAATCGGGCTTTCAGAAAACAGAAAAGATTTAGCTCCCTAACCACTGCCCTAACCAATCGACATCAAGAGTCTATTGCTAGTATAAGTCGTAAATTATATAAAATCTGGAGCCTTCAAAGAACTGCGCAAAAACATTAATATAGATCAAGAGGTTCTGCTCTTCTACACTACAGTACGCTGACTGTCAAACGAAATGTTGTAAATTGTGTTTTTGAATTGAAATCTAAAATCAAATTGTTCTTGGAAGTGCAAAGGAAACAAAACTTTTGGTATACTTAAAACGACATAGAGAAGTTGGAGAGAGTATCATACCTAGCAGATGTGTTCGAACATCAAGATAAGCTTAACCTGAAGCTTCAGGGAAAATGAACGAATATTATAACTTTCCATGATAATCTCGGGGCATTTTTATCAAAGCTGCAAAATCGGTAAAGAAGATAAATCTGGGAAATATTGTAAATTTGAGAAACTCTGCGGTGTGGTAGATGAATCTGATTGTGAGGTAATTAAATTTTTGAAAGAAGCGATTTCTAGGCATCTTGAATCTCTTGAAAACGAACTGCATCGCTATTTCTCTGAGCTGAAAAAAGTAGAATCTACATTTACGCATTACTCATTCTCTTCTTCCCTTGATGTTGCCAGCATTCCCGATGAATTACAAGATGCATTCTTTGATTTGCAGAATGATTCCGAGTAAGATGAAAAACTGCAGACACAATTTTGGTGTAGTATTCACCATTCATACCCAAACGTAAAACTGATTGACTTTTCGAGAATATATTTTCAACACTATTCTTCGATTAAAAACAAAATTAAGATAATTATAATGACATAGGTTGACGTTAACAAAAATTTGTTTTAATTAAAAACGTAACCACGAAGGTTTAGTGAATAGTATGCAATTTTACTCATGCTATTAAAACAGTTATCAAGAGTAGTTCGAATTGAAAGTCTATTAGAAAATATTATTTTAGTGCTTATTAATTTCCACACTAATTTCGGCTTTTTAATTCTTTGGGGGTCGCGGGTCACTTACTTTTTATAAAAGGGGGTCGCCACTCGAAAAAGGTTGGGAACCACTGTTTTAAAGTTTCAACATTTTATATTTTAAGATTCAGTGATATAAAAGTGGCAAAGAAGACAAGCATTCATTGGCTGTATGGAAACTCCGTACAAATCGTACTTTTTCCTCAAAACTCACCCCATAATTTATAAAAAAATACACTATCAAGCCATTTTTACTTTCTCTTATACGAAGTATAGAGGAAGTATTGTAATCGTGCAAAGAATCTCGACGTTTTACACCTCTGTGAGTCGGAAAAACTTAGTTTTGCAATTTTGTCTGTATGTCTGTGTGTGATGTGTGTCTATGAACAGGATAACTTGAGTACCGTTATAAATCGTGTCTATATCACTAGTTGCCATCCCCCGTTAGTATATTCGAAAAAGTTTAGGGGAGATCACTCCCGCTTTATTATGTACATTTTCAGTGACAAAATTGTGTTTTTAGCTTCTTTTTTAAAAATTTGTTTAGTTACCGAAAATATAAAAAATATCAAATACATCAAATTTTCACTAAAGTCTAACAAAAAACAAACAGTCAGAACTGTATTTATGTTATAAATGTACATAAAATTTAAATATTTTTGTCTTTTCTAACAATATCTAGACTTCTCGTTTGGGTTATCTCCCATTTTATTATTGTGTATATTGACCATTTTTTAAATTACGTTTAGATAGAAAATACTAAATGCCTGCATTGTCGTCAGAAACTAATTTATTTGGAACGTTTAAAGAACGTTACTGCATTAGACATTTGTTTCACTTGCAAAATTGTATTCCAAACTCAATTACCCACAGATAGATATTAAGTTGTAATCATGAAAAAAGTGTGCGAAAAGCTCTGTGATCCGATTAGTACTATAATTTCAGTTGTTTGCCTCTCACAAAAAAAAACAGTTACGGCTATTGGAAGAGTCCGTTGTCAGACACCTCCCTCCCCCTCCACACACACCCCCCCCCCCCCCCACCCTGATCTGGGTGTTTGGGCGGGCTATTGAACGTGTTTTATGTGAGGGATATCAATAGGGCTTGTAAGTCTACGGTATCGAAATTTACAAGCTGCATAGTACGAGAACGAGAAGTTGTGACCTACTTACAAGCCCTATTGTCAGTGTTAGTGAGGATACGTTAACATTATATTTCAGTGACTATTTGACTGACATCACTTGTCAGTGACAACAGTGACAGTCGGTGATACTTTACGCTAATGGCTTTATATCACGTGAACATTGTCCATATATTTTTATATTTTTGTTTTTGTTTTTTTTCAGACTCCGACGGGGCTGAGAGCCAGACGTCGCAGGCAGAAGCTTATCTCAAGGACATTATAGCCGGATCTAGCCAGTTCTCGACGGCTGTTCCTGGTCAGCTGTCACCAGCTGCCCCTGGTCAGTTATCACCAGCTGCCTCTGGTCAGTCCTCGTCAACTGTTCCTGGTCAGTCTTCGTCAGCTGCCCCTAGCCAGTTCTCACCAGCTGCCTCTGGTCAGTTCTCACCAGCTGCATCTGGTCAGTTCTCGCCCAGACGACTCAACCCATTCGACTTCCCCAGCTCGTACGTCGCCCAGCAGCCGCAGGACGATCGATCACGTGACTTTGACCAGCTCAGTTTCGGCGACCCCACGTTCATCAGCAGCTATTTCCAGACGCCTGGCGCGGTCACTGCTTCTCCCTTGACCGGCGCTCCCCCCAGACAAACAAACGCCCCCCATCAGAACCCCGCGGCGCTTCTGGCCCCGGCTGTGCCGGACACCAAAGGACCGAGCTCCAGCAGCCCAGCATCTGTCCCTCGGGCTCCACTCTATGGGGGCGAGAAGAACCTCAGCCCACCCGGTCCTGGTGAAATCCCCGGATGTAGCGCTGAAAGCCAGCGTAACAGTTTAATCATACCAGTGGTCCATCGCGATTTTATACTCGAAGACTACACGTCGGCTCACAAACCTGCTGGAGAGGCACGTTCAGCCGACGCCGTCCCGCCCACAACCGCCGACACTCAGGTCTACACAAACAGACACGGACTACCCAGCATGACAGAACGTACCTCCGGTTTGCGATTGGTAGACACGCGGAACTCAGCCATCGTGGATTTATCAAGGACGCGCATCTCAACCGACGGCTACCCGAGTGCTAATGCCGATGCTCGACGCGAGGAGGACGACGAAGAAGAAAACGAGGAAGAAGATTCACCGCTGTTGGATAATATGAACTCACGCCGCGCGGCTGGCCGCTCTAGCGTGCCGCGCCGCGCGGCGGTTGGACCGTTCGTCAATTTCGCTGGGCCAGACCGGGGTCTCACATCCAGCGAGACCGCTTCCCCGAGCATGACCAAATCCTACACGGAGCGGGACTGCTTGACGGCGAGCGGCCCGGACTCGGCGTCCAACGGGTCCGTTGTGGGCAGGCACGGGGTCAAGCCCCAAGCGGCCAGTACTCTCTGGCTGAGGAATTCCTACGGCGAGTACAGTCCCTTGGCCGAGGCCGGCGCGAGTGACCGGGCCTTGACGTGGCGTCATTGCCACAAGAAACGGCCAGCGCTGACGGATAAACTAGCGCTGCGTCAGCTGGTGTCCGTGGTTGTGTTGTGTGTCCTCTTCATGACCGGCGAGGCTATAGGTGAGCAGGTTTTTTTTTTTGCTTTTGTTTTTTTGTTCCGGTACAAGTGTGCCTGTCAACACCTAAAGGTATGGTATCCACACCTGCTCTTGTGCTGATTTACAGCTGACAGTGTGATTATCCTGAAACACGAGCTTACCCCGACACTAGCCAAGCTGCTGTTCTCACGGACATGAATAATTCGCACAGTTTATGTCGTCATCAATATCGACAAAACAATCCGAACGGTAGGCCACGCACCACTGGCTTCAGCTCACCTGTGATTAAATTACTCGTATACAAGGATTACCGTTTTCCAATCAGAGCTGTCTTCTGTTAGAATCTGTAGCAGAGTTTCTTTGGGCATTTATCATGGAGGACTCTGTCTCCCCCCAACCCGGAAATTTTAACTGTGCCCCTCCCCCTCGTCCTCCTGGGAGTTTCAAGTGCGCCCCCCCCCCCTCCCCCACCTTGCAATTTAAAAAAAAAAAATTCTTATTTGTAGCCCACGCCCCAATTGCGTGTAACACCTTGTGTCATACCGGTCCCTCCCCATCTCATTAAAGTGTTGAATGTATCAAATAGATCTAGATGTAATGCTAATCGAGACACCAGCATACGCTTATAGTGATTGTCGCTGTAATTTTCAATTTACATGCACACAACCTTGAATCGTCCAAAACTCCTCGCTGTTTTGACACCATCATGTCCTTCACATTTTAACTCAACTTATTTAAATCACTACATCAAAAAATGTATGTAATTTCATAATTCGAATTTGCCCTTACACCTTCCCCCGGGGCGGATTAAGTTTGGGTAGAATTTTAGTTTGGCGGCGCCTCAGTGGTTTGCGGTTATGATCCCCCAGAGAGATTGAGGGCCCTGCATAAAGGCCAGGGCTACTACTTGAATCTAAAGTTCAATCTGCATCAGGGGCGTTCTGCGGAACCCCCGCGGTTATGTAACCTGGATCGCCCAGGGCTCCACCATGAGCACTATGCCGCCTATATTCGTTTTAAAGACCGCCCTACACTAGGAATGTGGGTGGCTACTGCAGTCGATGACATAACCGAATCAGCGCACGGCGTTAGTACAACCAGTGGCTCCCACGAGCACCCCTGACACCTGGGCGTTTACCGAGTGGTGTTCTACCTCACCCTTGCGTAAGGTGATCAATATAAACTTAATGTTTTCATACAGCACACCGTGGGGCGTATGTGCGGTAATGTGGACAACCCCGCGCCCCAACTAAGATCCAAGACTAATGTAGTACCGACATTGTTTAATATATAAATCAATCGAGTTCTAATAAACCGAATAAACCGAAATCTTTAATTTGGTGTCTAGGAATAGCTGATGGTGGGTGCGAGGGAGGGATGAATGGATGTATTGATGACAACATCAAATATTTTATTTGATCAAATCGATCATTGATGCCACGACAATGCTACTTGCTAGAGTATCATAGTAAATCAGAATGAATACGATGACCTTAACACATTTTTTGTGGCCTCTTGTGCTAATGGAAGCGCAGGCTAGTGCTAGGGTAGGCGATAACAATTTTACAGAAATTTACAACTCTTTTTCAATAAATATATCGTGTCACGCGCTAGTTCCCTGTTTGTCTACAGCAGGCTCAGGGATAATTTTGTAGCAAGGAGAAGCCAAGATAGTTTAGTACCGTGGCAAGCGGCAAGATTTTGGTTTTCAAGAGATGGCGTCAAGATTATTTTGGTTTTTCAAAAAGCTTACAAGCCGCTGTCTAAGAGTATTCAATCAATCAATCACCACATAGTTTATTTTCTTATCTTTCTTCTTCTTCGTTCTTAATTTTTAGTGTTGGAAGGGATCGAGCCTTATCTTCCAGAGGGTTTGAACTCGAAACTTTTTTTTTTCGAATTTTATCAGCCATGAGCTTTGCCGACTCGTCCATGCTTCCATCACAATTAAGCGTTACGTGTCAACTGTTTATGCGCCATTGAGGCCATTGACTCCGATTTCAGCCTGCTTTTCTTTTTGGATGTGCTTCCATAGCCTTTGTCCAACCAAGAACAAACTACAAGGCAGCAGTTGTTTTGATTTTGGAGTTGGCTCTCCTAGAGGAGTGGCTGTCCCCAGCTAACGAGCGTCATCTTATGATATTCCTTCTGTCTCGGTTGTCTGCTATCTAAGTAGTTCTTCAACGGGCAGCCCAGTCTAATATTGAATGCCCTCAATCCAGTGACGTCCTTGTTTTCCCCTTCTTCTCTCTCCTGGCTCCGTGCCTTGTGTTATTGTTTTGGGTAGGCCGTTGGCTCATGTGACATGCCCTTACCATCTCAATTTTTACTTATTTTGACAGCTCATATAAGGAGATTTTTTTTTTTACTCGCGGACAGTTTTTAGCCCTTGTCGTGCGAGTAGAAACTGACCGATCGTTTTTCCGTATGACCGATTCATTTCCCCAGGTCTATGGAAAAAATTAGCCAGATGTACAGAGCCAAAGTACCCTAAAATTGTTTTGAAAATAGTCATCGTTTTAAACCAAAATAACTATTCATATGGGGAATTCGGATTGGTCACTGCTAAAGGCTCTCCGAAGTTTTCCCGAAGATAATACAGCTCTCGTGTGACAGGCATGCACATACCATCTCAATTTTACTTGTTTTGACTTTGGTTAGTAGACTCCAAAAGGGACCTATGCGTGTGGTGTGTCTAGGGCTAAGTTGTCGTATGGCTGGATGCCTTCTACCACAGCCGGATACCTTCTACCACAGTAATTTAAATAGTAGTGTATAATTTATTTTCTACTTTTTAGTGCATTAATACATGAAAGCTTGTTATTAAAACGTTTTTAATGAACTTTTTTTACATGACTAATAAAAGCTTGTTATTAAAACGTTTTTTATGAAAAAAGTTTTAGTACTTTACAGTCATGCTTTTATTTACAATAGAGTAACATGACTAAAAACCATTGCGCAGCTATTGAGCGTGATGACGCGCTTTTGCCATGATGACGCGTGTGGATAGAACTGCCTACTAATTTGCATAAAAAATTAATCAGGCGACCAATTAAGTCAAATTTAATGTCACGATGCATTGTCTTCTTGCTTTGACCCACGTACCAATTAAGAACCGTATGTCAGAAGTGCCTGCAATTTCGCTCGGGCGTTTCGATCTAGACAGACAGACTGACGACAGAGGAAGTGAGTTAAATAAAAGCTTGTAAAAAAGCAGAAACGGGCAGATAAAAAATACATGCACATGTGTGTGTGTGCGCGCGTGTATGCGTGCGTGTATGCGGCGCGTGTGTGTGTATTGATAAGATCAAATATTCAATATTGTGTATTTTGATTGGTTCTCTTGGTTAATTTCGTTCTTTGTATATTTGTATCTTCCCGGGTTCCCAGAAAAATGCGCAACAAGAAAACAGCGCTGCGGAAAAATGCACAAACAGAAAATGCGCTTTCAAAAAAATGCGCAAATACAAACTAGTTATACTTGCATTTTCCTGCATGTATGTTTAGAATCCGTCGTGTGCTGTGTTGTAGTCTGTACATCGATCTGGACGTATTTTCCTGTTGTCTCCTTATGGGCTCATTAGCTTGGGTTAAATGATTTAATGAGCTGAAGCTGCTTACCTCATTAGCACCCGCATACATTAATTGTGTTTCTTCCGTCGTGCGACATATATTTTAACAGATATACGTTGAACCTTTAGGATTTTAAAAACAGTGCTAAACCTATTGGGTGTTTAACTGTTCGTTGAACCTCTAAGACTTTTAATCATTGTTAAACTTTAGTATTTTAAAAACAATGTTAAACCTATTGGATGTTAAACAGTTAAACCTCTATGTTAAACCTTTGGGACTTTAAACGTGTAAATGTTAAACCTCCAGGACTTTAACAACTAGGACTTTAAACAGTTAAATCTCCAGGACTTTATATAGATAAACCTTAAACCACTTAGACTTAGATTAACCTCTCTGTCTTTAAAGATATTAACGTTAAATTTTCGGGGACTTTAACCAGAGAAATGTTAAACCTTGTGGACTTTAACCAGAGAAATGTTAAACCTCGTGGACTTTAACCAGAGAAATGTTAAACCTCGTGGACTTTAACCAGAGAAATGTTAAACCTCGTGGACTTTAACCAGAGAAATGTTAAACCTCGTGGACTTTAACCAGAGAAATGTTAAACCTCGTGGACTTTAATCAGAGAAATGTTAAACCTCGTGGACTTTAACTAGAGAAATGTTAAACCCGTTGAGCTTAAACCAGATAAACCTCTAGAATTTCGATGAACTCCAAGGTATTTAAAGAGATGAACGTTAAGGACTTTTAACAGATTACTGTATAATCCCGGAGCAAAATGTAACTAAACATCAAGCAACATTTGTTGTTTTAGATGAGTTGAAATGTTTTACAGAATCTATGGAACACCTGACCAAACATTAGGCGACATTTGTTGTTTTAGATGAGTTGAAATGTTTTACAGAATCTATGGAACCCCTGACTAAACATCAAGCAACATTTGTTGTTTTAGATGAGTTGAAATGTTTTACAGAATCTATGGAACACCTGACCAAACATTAGGCGACATTTGTTGTTTAGATTAGTTCAATGTTTTACAGAATCTATGGAACCCCTGACTAAACATCAAGCAACATTTGTTGTTTTAGATGAGTTGAAATGTTTTACAGAATCTATGGAACCCCCGACCATAACATTTGTTTAGATGAGTTGAAATGTTTTACAGAATCTATGGAACCCCCGACCATAACATTTGTTTAGATGAGTTGAAATGTTTTACAGAATCTATGGAACCCCTGACTAAACATCAAGCAACATTTGTTGTTTTAGATGAGATGAAATGTTTTACAGAATCTATGGAACCCCTGACTAAACATCAAGCAACATTTGTTGTTTTAGATGAGATGAAATGTTTTACAGAATCTATGGAACCCCTGACTAAACATCAAGCAACATTTGTTGTTTTAGATGAGATGAAATGTTTTACAGAATCTATGGAACCCCTGACGTGTGCATTAGCTGTGGTGGGTCTGGCCCCGGAAACAATGCAGTAAAGGTTGACACACCCACGTAGATAGATGCAATAGAGGATTGTCATTGTGTCGTGTTAACTATCTATTTCCGTTGTTCTTCAATGTTTCTACCCCATTAAACTCTCCATTATTTACACATTAAACTTTGAGGAAACAGTGAAAGTTGAAACTAGTTGACCTCTTCCTGAGCTTTTCCACCACCCCCCCACCCCCCAACCCCGCTCGGACGAGTTAGTTATAAATAGAAAATATATACTTAAACCTTTGTCTTCGTATCCGGAAGTTTCATGTGCCCCCCCCCCCTTCCACCTCGCCTACCCCTCGCAAGCCCACCCATCTCCACTCCCTTCGGATGAGTTCGTTTATAAATAGAAAATAATACTAAAACTATTGCAATCACTAAGTGCTACTCACGCGGTGCGGAAACTCGGTGTCAGTCTCACACTGTTGACAATGTACATGCGTACTTTATGTACCTAAAATATGGCTCCATTTTGTCTCGCGAGACACTGGGTGCACCCAGAGAATAGGAATCTAAGGGACGCGTACCGGGGCATTAGGTGAAGATTTATGGGTCGCTCATGCATCGTGGTCACTCTCTCGACATTAGCTGGTGTATTTCAAGGCATGCTAAGCAATACCCGCGGTACCAGCGTCGGTTGCAGGAGTTGCCGAAAGGGAACCAGAGTTGTTGTTCCTATCGCCTAAGGGGCACCACTCCTGTTAGATTTCGTAGTTTTCACTCCTAGATGGGTTGCTGCCCACATGTATCGAGTCTTATCTGCCCGGTGGTTCGAATTCAGGACTTTTTGGATTCGTCATAAGTATGGGTAATATACATATGTATATACAGGTAGGATAGATGATATACATATATACAAATATACATAAACACACGTATATTATGCATACAACTGCTTGGGTTCAGATCAGCTCTAGCTGTCGAGTCGCATTAACCCTATTTCACTATCGTATATATCATTAATAACATTAATCATGTCAGATCTACCATATTGGCAAACCGCTCCAACCGAATAAAAAAATATTTATCGGATATGGGTCAGCATCGAATTACAACATACAGTTTCTAATTTAATTAATAACATCTCAGCCAATTTGCCAGTCCTCTTGGCAACCTGTCCAGGACAAAAAAGGATCTGGAGAAATGCCTCCGACAAAAGGGTCCCGTCTCATGACCTAGATTCACTCGTTCAAGGTAGTGTGCTATTTGCTAAGTGATTGAAAAAGGTGAAAGCCACTCACTGTACTTTAAGTGAGTGTTCTGTTCTTTTTTTAAGAGAATAAGTTTATCCAATATTTTTCGGGGTTTCCCTGTTTCTCAGAACTTTGAGCCGTTGTGTAAACAACGATTTATTTCATGCTTTGGCGGGTCATTCCGTGTTATCTACATAATGCTTAGTTTTTTTTCTATACAAAGATTTATAAACAAAGGTTCCCTTCAATAAAGATTGCGTTTTAGCGTTTAATAATTTCGACATCTTTCCGCCTCCCTCTCCCTTTCCTTACTTGTAAGTGCTGTCAGCTGTCTGACACTAAGCCTTTAAGACCAAGCATGTCTAATCTGTAAAACATGTAATGGTGAATGTTAAACTAAGCTCACAACTTTTTGGTGTCGGGTATCGCCCATCTGTGCTTAATGACCTGCTTATCTCAAACTGGTTATTGATACAAAGCATGTTATTCTTAGTGCAGTTTGAAATGTGTCGTCGCTGTGATGCCCCCCCCCCACCCATCTCCAGGGGCGGATTTAGCTTGAGCGAGCCACCCCCCCCCCTCCGATGATAATGTTTTGGGAACATATAGATACCAGTTTAATTCGTTCCTTAACATTGCTCGTATATCGAATAGCTCGTATCTCAAAGCAATTTTTTACATTGAAATGTAATGCCATTAATCCCTTCCAACCCCACCCGAAATGCCACCCCAGTTATTTAATCGGGGGCCCCTGACCGCTGCCCTCTCAGCCCCCCCATAAATCCGCTACCCCCCCCCCCCCCCCCACACACACACACACCTCCACCTCTCTCTTGTACAGGCATGGCCGGCTGAAGCAATGCTCACAAGTCAGACAAACCACATGAGGATGAAGAGTCGAGCGTTTCTCTCCCTCATTCGTTTCGATGTAGCTTCGATAGTTAATATAAAAACATTAATCTAACTCTCAGGGCGGTTTCCCCCATAATACTTCCAGGGGAAGTAATTCATCAAGTTGTGGTTACAGCAACAAAGGGTTCTTATCCCTGACTCGGCCACTTTTACCCGTTGTCACACGCCATTAAAAAAAAAAACATGACGTATTTTGTGTTGTCATTAGGGATGGCGCCGTGTCAAAGTTTAAGGGTCATCTGTTTAAAAAAATATGTTTATACGCACTCCCTCCTCCTGTCCACACGAGTTCACTTTGGACACCACCCCCCCCCCCCCTTCCCCTACGTCAACGTTGATTATTTTACTTCTCTGTAGTGTTACTTGCATTGGTACCTGAATAAGTTTCGTGTAAGTTTACAGTGGGTACTGACACCTGTTCCTGTTTATCGCTCTCTTACCGCTGACATTATTTTATAAATTGTTATATCGATACCGTGATTTAACTACCCGCCGAGTTGCAGTTTTTTTTAACTGTATCAGACCAAGCATTAATTAGCTCACCTACGGTTTAGTTTGATCCAGTTGATCCGGATTTAACATCACGGTGTGTATTTTGGCAGTTTACTGGACGATACGGTCAGAGTTTCTTCCAGACATCTCTTCGGGGGAGGGGGGGGGGCGGCAAAGCCCCATCCGAAAATCTTTTACCGCCCCCCCCCCCGAACGAAATGAAATTTATATAATTTATATAGAAAATATATACTTTTAACAGTGTCCGCCCCCCCCCCCCCCCGAAGAAAGTCTACCGCCCCCCGAAAATTCCAAGTGCCCCCCCCCCCCCCCGGAGAAAAAAGTCTGGAAGAAACGCTGGATATGGTCTTGTTACTGATGATCAAATTTTTTTTTTTTAAATCGATGATTTTGATGCCCCAAATATCGGGGGATAAGCTTTACACTGGAAGCTTGTGGATTAGAGGATAACGGGAGAATACCCTCACCCTTATACACAAACACACACACATCGTGAATACCACCACCACCCTCTTCCCCCCACACATACATCGTGAACAACACCACACACACACATGTCGTGAACACCACCCCTCCCCCCACATCGTGAACACCACCCCTCCCCCACATCGTGAACACCACCCCCCTACAAACACACATAGTGAAACCACCACCCCCCCCCCCACTCACACATCGTTAACACCACTCCCCTACACACACACATCGTTAACACCACACACATGCGCATGGTGATCAACAATACCCCACACACATAGATATCGTTAGTACCACGCACACACACATCGTGAACACCACCACCCCACACTCACACAGCACACACTCACAACGACCAGAGAAAGCCCAGATGCCACTTACAAGAAGATCATATAACGAAAGCAGGTAATATAAAAAAAACATTAAACACTCCTTAACGATTTATTTATAGCCCCTTTCCCTACCACCATTATGATCCGTGAATATATTGTGAACTCCAGTGATATACGTATATATATATATATATATATATATATATATATATATATATATATATATATATATATGGCTGGTAAGTAGGTCACCAACCAGTTCTACGGCTCAATAAAACCTGCATGAGCCATAGAACTTGTTGGTGACCTACTTACCAGCCCTATTGTTTGGTTTCTCTCGTGCTTTGTTGTCTTCAGGATTGCAGTCGTGTCACTTTGACTTAGTTTGACCTTTAGGATAATTTGACCTTACTGTGACCTTTGTGTTGTGTGACCTTGAAATGGCGTGACCTTGTATTACTTATATTCTTATCAGGCGGCGCCTTGTCCAACAGCCTGGCCTTGTTTACGGATGTCCTTCACCTTGGCAGTGACCTTGTGAGCTTCATCATTAGCCTGATTGCCATGTGGCTCTCCAACAAGCCGGCAACAAAAAGGATGTCCTTTGGCTACCACAGGGCTGGTCAGTGGCTTACATCAGACCTATAGTTTCATTACAGAGTTGACCAGCGGCTCTTACATCAGACCTATAGTTTCACCGTACATTACACATTACAGTTTCATTACAGAGCTGGTCAGCGGCTCTTACATTAGACCTATAGTTTCATTACAGAGCTGGTCACTGGCTTACATTAGACCTATAGTTTCATTACAGAGCTGACCAGTAGCTCTTACATCAGATTTAGTGCAATGACCATCTGCTTATGCTATCTCGCAACAGCTGACCATGTCACATGAATGCTCATGGTCAGTTCATTCCACAGCAATTCTATTGGTTCTAGTTGACCAAGGTCCAGCTGACCTAGACTACCTCTCACTTATCTACAACCTATATTTAAATCTTGTATCATCACACTAAATCTACACATTAAATCTATCCCTACACTAAATCTGTACCAATCTATCCCTACACTAAATCTATCCCTACACTAAATCTATACAAATATATCCCTACACTAAATCTATACAAATATATCCCTACACTAAATCTATCCCTACCCTAAATCTATCCCAACACTAAATCTATCCCTACACTAAATCTATCCCTACACTAAAGCTGTACAAATTTATCCCTACACTAAATCTGTACCAATCTATCCCAACACTAAATCTATCCCAACACCAAATCTATCCCAACACCAAATCTATCCCAACACTAAATCTAATCCAACACTAAATCTATCCCAACACTAAATCTAATCCAACACTAAATCTAACCCTACACTAAATTTATCCCAACACTAAATCTAACCCTACACTAAATTTATCCCAACACTAAATTAGTACCAGTCTCCCTTGACACCCATCTCTACCCATTGTGCCTGGTTTACCTCAAGTTTTCTTGTAGAGGTGATGGGTGCGCTGTTGAGTGTGTTCCTGATCTGGTTGGTCAGTGGTGTGTTGTGCTACATCGCTGTAGAGAGGATCATGCAGGGGCACTACATGGACGTCAAGCCTGATGAGATGTTGATTACGGCCTCGTTAGGCGTGCTGTTTAATTTTATGTGAGTACTCCATTAGATGTTCCCATTCATTTCTGATGCTTGTGCAAATTAAATTAGTCTGTATTCAACACCTTGGGATGGTATGTTTGAATGGTTGAGGGCAAGACTTGTTAAGTCAGAAGTCTGGAGTTTGAATCCTTGGCTTGAGTCTCAATGACATTCCTGAGCCCACCCAGCTATGATGGGTACCTGACTCACATTAGGAAAATGAAAGGCGGCTTGGTCTTTTGCTGAAAATACTATCCCTTCATATGCCGAGGTCGTGGGACGGATTGGTCTAGCGGTAGAGAGCTGGACTGCTAACACGTAAGTCTCGAGTTCAAATCCGGGTTCAAGTCAGTAGACCGTCCCTGAGTCCACCCAACTCTGATGGGTACCTAACTCACGTTAGGGAAAGTAAAGGCAGCTGGGCATAGTGCTGACCACACTATCTCTTCATATGCCGAGGTCACAAAAACAAGTGAACTCAGGTTTAAAAGGGAAACTTTACTTTTTTATGCCGAGGTCATCGAAACAGGTGAACTCAGCCTCCTATGGTCCATTGAAAGCAAGGTCAAAAAGGGTAACTTTCTACCCACTTCTGTTTTATATTGTTTGGGCTCTGAATGTACACAGCCATGACATTGACATGCATCTGACTTCAGTCATGGAATGCATGTAAATTTGCCCTAAAACTACAATTTAGAATGATTGTTATAATGATTGTCATAATGATTGTCATAATGATTGTTATAATGAATGTTATAATGATTGTCATAATGATTGTTGTTGTAATGATTGTTATAATGATTGTTATAATGATTGTTATAATGAATATTATAATGATTGTTATAATGATTGTTATATGATTGTTAATTTTCAATGTTCTATTTTTAGAATGGGGTTTGTCCTTCACTCAGAGGTCTGCTGCGGCAAAGCTCACAGCCATAATAAATTTGGCCATGGCCATTCTCATGGGGGCGGCCACGGCCATGGCCACTCCCACAGCCCCTACCCCAAGGAACTGCTGGACGTTCCAAGTTCCGCCCCCGTAGAGGAGGAAGCTCCTAGCAACAGTGGTAGATACCAGCGGTTGCCGCCAGACAGTGAGTTTGATGCGTCGGGGCAGGCAATGAGGGATGTCAGCTCACAAGAGTTAGGTAATTGTTGCTGCTGGTTTTGTGGTCGTAGATGTCAGCTCACAAGAGTTAGGTAATTGTTGATGTTTGTTGTGATGGTAGAGGATGTGTGGATGTCACATCACAAGAGTTAGGTAATTGTTGATGTTTGTTGTGATGGTAGAGGATGTGTGGATGTCACATCACAAGAGTTAGGTAATTGTTGATGTTTGTTGTGATGGTAGAGGATGTGTGAGGGATGTCACATCACAAGAGTTAGGTAATTGTTGCTGCTGCTGATGTTTTGATGGTAGAGGATGTATGGGGGATGTCACGTTACAAGTTAGGTAATTGTTGCTGCTGGTGTTGTGAATTTTCTGATGATAGAGAGCATATGGGGAACCTCTAAGAATTTAGCCAGGATGCAAATGGGTTTTATGAGGACTTCTTGCAACTGCCCTAAATTGTCTTGCATTGGCGCCTGGTTTCTTAATCTTCTTCATTCTTAATTGTAATGTTGGACAGGCTTGCTTCCAACACAGTGAAGTATTATGTGCCAACTTGTTATGTGCCATTTTTGTTTTTGGATTTGCTTCAATAGCTTCTTTCCATCCAAAAACAAACTACAAGGCAGCAGTTGTTAGATTTTGGAGTTGTCTCTCTTGGAAGAGTTGCTGTCTCCGGGTTTCTAACTTGGGACTTTTTAGTTTAGCAATCATGAGTTTTACCGACCTGACCATGTCTGGTTTAAATAGTGAACAGCTTGTTCAGCCATAATCTTGTTGAGAGAGAGACAAATAGTTTTTGACTTTTGTTGTAAACAATATCTAATATTTACTTTTAACTTGTGACTTTCTAGTTATGCTTTTGACATTTGTTTTTAAATGAAATCTGATACCAGCTTTAAACTCACAGGTCAAATCTCGCTTAAAATGACAGTTTAAAATTTTGCTTTAGAAACCAGCCGAGATGTGAGTGATGAGGAAGCCCTACACAAGCACAAGAACATCAACGTGAGGGCGGCCTTCATCCATGTTGTAGGTGACATCATACAGAGCCTGGGTGTCCTTGTGGCGGCTCTGATCATCAAGTTTACTGTAAGCCTTGTTATTTGATGTCACCCGTAAATGTTACACAAATGACAGAAAGGGGGATTTTAGACTTTAGTGGTTATATCTTATATGGGGGGAGGGTTTTAGATACTCAGCATGTGTTGTACTGGTTGAGCCCAAGGATTATGGGGATAATTCATCTAAACTAAAATTATGTTAATTTTTAGGATTATGGACATAATTAACTTTAATGAGAATTATATTAAATTTTTAGGAATTACTGAGATAATTATTAATTATTATTAATTTAAATTAGAATTTGGTTAATCTTTTGGTGAGTTTGTAATTCTCGGGGGGGGGGGGGGGGGGGGGGGGGGTTAGAGATAGACTGGGAATTGGTTACATCATGTGTGGAGAAGTTGGAACTCATTATCTGAGTGTCTTTACAATTAGACTTCATTTTTGGTTCTCAACTCCAAATCAAATGACATTTTCTTTTCATCACAGCTTTTTAATATTTTTTAACAAATTAAAATAGTAATCATTATTACACATGATTAATGAATTTGTTTAAAGACAGATATATTTGAGTTAAAATTAATTACATCAGTTGGAATTTGATGAGTTTTATGTATAAATGTGTTCTCTGTCACTTGAATTGTATCTATAAATTGTTTGTTCCACAGCATGATGATAAATTTCGACTTGCCGACCCCATTTGTACCTTCCTGTTTTCTGTTCTTGTTCTCATCACCACCTTCACAGTACTGAGGGATGCCTTGCTGGTTGTTATGGAAGGTGGGTGCTATTGTTGTTGTTGGGGTACTGTAGTCTCATGGACAGTACTAAAAATACCACATACTATACTGCAACAACAATCATGTAAGAAATGGGGTATTTTTGTAGTGTTTTACTATTATGGAAGGCATGTGGTCTCATTAGAGTAGCACTGTACTAGGATAGAAATAGAATGTAGATCTATGTGACTATGTGGCTGTGGTTGTACTTGCTGAAAACCACTCACCAAACAAGCTGATTGTACAAAGTGCCTATAACCTAAAAGGCATTGGTAAACAATTTTTTAAAAGATTATCTCTCGTAATTAGTAATACTCAAACTCATTTAAATCAAATCTATATTTGTCTGTAAAATAGTTGAATATAACAAGGGTTTTAACAGAAGATTTTTTTTAGTGAATTTAAATTGTACAAAATGTATCCAATGATGATTCTCAAACATTTAAAAGTAAATTTTATAATTTCAGGTGTGCCCAGAGATTTATCATACGAATCACTGAAGCGTGAACTAGCTGCCATAGATGGCGTGGTGGCTGTCCATAGCCTCCATATATGGGCATTGACCTTAGACAGGAACTCATTATCTGTTCATCTGGCTGTTGGTAATTAACCATTTGTACAGCAATTCACATTTTTGTTCTCATCACAAAATTAGAAATTAAAAAGCAAACAAAATCTTTAAGTAAAAAGCAAACAAAATTTTAATGTAAAAAGGAAACAGAATTCTAAAGTAAAAAGGAAACAGAATTCTAAAGTAAACAAAATAAATGCTTTAAATCTTACCCTGGCAATAAATGTTCCACTATAGCTACTTTCAGCACCAACCATTTGAAAGTTATAGTAAAATTTTAATCTTTCTAAAGCACAAGAGTTTTTTTCCCCAGTTACATTGTTTATCTAACTGATTAAAACAGAATTTAATTTAAAAATTTTACAATTAAAAAATAAACACATGAAAAATGACTAGTTAAATCTTTAGTTTATTAATACTTAAATGAATCAAGAGTTAGTAGATTTTTTTTTAAGATAAATTGCTTATCTTTCCAATTAAAAAAAGTATTTATACAAGGCAGGCTTGGGTCAGTTCTGATTGCTATTTGAGGTTTTCCCAAAACATAAATATTTATTCTGTTTCATTGGCAGTGTTAATGACTTTTGTTAAAAATGTATTAGCTGAAGTACGAAGGTGCTCACTGGTGTACAGTTTTTAGACTAATGTTTTTAAAATATATTTTAAACTTATATATTTAAAAAACTTTTTAATTTCTCAAGATTACATATTAATTTTTGTATTCCCATTGTCTCCCTTATGTATGTTCTACCTTTACTTCCCATTGTCTCCCTTATGTTCTACTTTTACTTCCCATTGTCTCCCTTATGTATGTTCTACCTTTACTTCCCATTGTCCCCGTTATGTATGTTCTACCTTTACTTCCCATTGTCTCCCTTATGTATGTTCTACCTTTACTTCCCATTGTCTCCCTTATGTATGTTCTACCTTTACTTCCCATTGTTCCCCTTATGTTCTACTTTTACTTCCCATTGTCTCCCTTATGTATGTTCTACCTTTACTTCCCATTGTCTCCCTTATGTATGTTCTACTTTTACTTCCCATTGCCTCCCTTATGTATGTTCTACCTTTACTTCCCATTGTCTCCCTTATGTATGTTCTCTTCCCATTGTCTCCCCAGAAAACCCAAACCTCCACAGTCAGGTTCTGGCTGCAGCCACCAAGCTGGTCCAGGACAATCATCACTTCATCCACTCCACCATCCAGGTGGAGCTGTATGACGAGGTCACTACTAGGGATTGTGGGGAATGCCAGGCACTTGTGTAACTGTGAGGTCACCACTAGGGATTGCAGGGAATGCCAGGCACTTGTGTAACTGTGAGGTCACCACTAGGGATTGCAGGGAATGCCAGGCACTTGTGTAACTGTGAGGTCACTACTAGGGATTGTGGGGAATGCCAGGCACTTGTGTAACTGTGAGGTCACCACTAGGGATTGCAGGGAATGCCAGGCACTTGTGTAACTGTGAGGTCACTACTAGGGATTGTGGGGAATGCCAGGCACTTGTGTAACTGTGAGGTCACCACTAGGGATTGTGGGGAATGTCAGGCACTTGTGTAACTGTGAGGTCACTACTAGGGATTGTGGGGAATGTCAGGCACTTGTGTAACTGTGAGGTCACCACTAGGGATTGCGGGGAATGCCAGACACTTGTGTAACTGTTGTATGATAAGGTCACCTAAAGAGATTGTTGTCCTGTCTAGAGTTCATTCAACTATTCTACAGCTGTTTTCACACGTAAAGGGATGTTGAATTGTTTTTATGTAGTGCCTTCCTCTATCATCACCAAAAGATAAAACAGATATTTTTTTTGTAAATGTTAAACCATAATAATAAATTATTATACAGACTTTTATTAATTAGTGTAATTAAAATAAAAAATCTATTTTAAAAAACTTTTAAATGTACAAATTAGAAAATAGCAATGACACACAGTTTACTACTTCATTGCCTTCAAGTAATGCAGATTTTTTTTCTAAATAAACTAATAGACTTGTAATAAGTGTAAATATAAGAAGATATTAAACTAAATTAAAAACCTATTGTATGTACATAGAATGAAATGGCAAATTTAATATTTTGCTATCCCATAACATGTTGGCATAAAATGCAATCTTAAACTTAAGACATCCTCTTGCTGAGACATTAGAGACATCCTATGTGTCTTGATGAGACACCAAAAAGTGGAAGTTGCTGAGAGATCAAGAAACAAAAATATTAATGATTGCTCAAAATTCTTAAGCAATGTTTCTTGTTCAACCCAACCTCTTTATCAGTATCTGTTTATAACTTAAATAGAACAAGATACAGAAAAGATTCAAAAATAGAAATTAACCGTTGGATTTGTCATCAAAGTTTCTCCTTAACAATTTCAATGGGCTTACTGTATTTGTATGCCATGTTGAGTGTGTATCACAACTAACTCATGTTGTGGTGACTGATTTTTGTTGCTTAAATTCTGTGATGTTTCAAATTTGTTGTAAATGTTATTGCTGATAATGTAAATATTTTTTAGACATGCTCATGTTTGTAAAGTCATCCAATCAGAAAGGAGCATCAGGAAAATTTGATTTGTGATTGGTTGATGAAAAATAAAAATATCTATTTATAGTTATGTTCCATTTTAAATGGCAATAAAAACAATTTTTATTTGAATATTTTTTTTTATTTAACATTCAGATAATTACTATAAGTAATTGCTGCCGAGATTATTAATTTATCAAACACACAAGATTACAATTAGTTCTGTGGAATACTCCATTTTGTGTAGCAGTAATCACAAAACCAAAGAATCAAATATTGGCATTTTGTTTAAATTTAATGCTTGATATTTAAATTAATGGTCTGATTTTTTTAAAACTTTTAAAGTAGAACTTAAATATTCCTGAGCTTAAATCATTATAAATAGTGAAGCTAAACATGTAATCCATGTTGCAAACAGAAAAGTACCATTCCAACAACAGTAGTTAACACACGACACAACACATTTCTAAGAGTTTGTCATTAGAGCTAAACCATCCATATACAACACATTGCTAAAGTATAGATCTTGGTATGTCTGTATTGCTACATAACCCCAAGCTACTCAGTTTTTTAAACCTTTTTGGGCATATAAATTACCAATAATTTCAAAAGCTTAAAAACATTCCAATTAAAAAATATTTTTGGATACACTTTTTTCACTTGAGTTCCTGTTACTTAAATTATATTTTTTTAAATGCCTATCACACATGTACATCTAGCATCATGTTTTTAAAAATGCTGACTTTTTTTTTTTTTAAACTTGCATGATGTCTTCCATGTGATTACATACTTATGTGTTTCATTTGCAATTTTTTGCTGATGGTTTTTAAATCAATTGCTTTTGTTCACTATTTCTACAGAAAATCATATTTATTTATCAGTTGCAATATGAAATGAAAGGTTTTTTTTTTTATTAATGCAGATGATTGGTTTTTTTTTTTGGTTTTTTTTTTAATGAAATTTGACTTGTTTGTTCTGACTGACAATCAGAATTATTTTTGTTTTGTAAAAATGGCAGTTTACTTTTTAGTTTAACTTAGATGTCATATCATGGAAATATAACAAATAGGCCTATGAAAAATGAAACTTTGCTAATAATTTTTAATTTGTTAAGTAATGGAGCTGGCAAATGTAGCCATTAGTTCCACTGAACAGATTTTTTTCAGTCTTTTTTTTTTCTACTGGATATAAATCTAAAAATGGGAAATGATTATATGAGTTATACCCAGACAGTTCTGTGTAGAATAACAAAATATTCAACATAACTTTGATAGGAGGATTGATGTACTCAAGAAATTTGTTCAAAATGGCCCAAAATTTTTTTTTACTTCTAATGATATTCTATACATTATGTCATTGTAACATTTTTAAAAAAAATTAAAATAACATTTTACTTTGTTGAAATTAAAAATGAGAAGCAGAGCGATTTGATAACCGTTTTGATTTTTTTTTCTTTGTTTTGTTGTCTGTGATCAAAGTCTAGCTTTGTACTTAGTATTCTCTGTTATATGTGACCAAACTCTAGCTGATCAGTCTAGCATTGTACTTTGTATTCTCTGTTACTTTACATGTGATCAAAGTCTAGCTTTGTACTTTGTATTCTGTTACATGTGATCAAAATCTAGCTGATCAAAGTCTAGTTTTGTACTTTGTATTCTCTGTTACTTTACATGTGATCAAAGTCTAGCTTTGTACTTTGTATTCTGTTACATGTGATCAAAATCTAGCTGATCAAAGTCTAGCATTGTACTGTGTATTCTCTGTTACTTTACATGTGATCAAAGTCTATCATTGTACTGTGTATTAGGGAATGTAAAAGTGCCTGGTCATAGTACTGACCACATATGTCATGGTCAAGAAAGAGATGAACTCTACTTCATCTTCCCTATGAACAATCAGGTTTGGTAACTATTTTTTATACAATGAACATACAACATTCTGATACAAGTACTTAAGCTTTTAATAACTAACTTAAAAAATATCAGAAGCTAATATCAATCAAGTAAACGTTTTCAAAAATATAACACAACAGTTGTACACTTCATGACAATCTTTTATTTTAAATTCTTCCATAAAAATCCAAGAGTAAAATTCAGTGGCACAAAGTTTAAACACTTCTGCGTCATAATAGGAAATCATTTTAAACCATGATTTTCCTGTAGTTAACATAAGGATGAACAGGACAACAATTATGATGACCCGTGTACAAAAATCTCTTTTGATTGCAACATGTCATATATAATCATGATTGTGAAAGAGAAATAGGCCTACTTCATTTAATACAAATACATTACAATTTCTATTGCATTTTTTTGGCACTAAATTTTATAATTTTAACATCATAATTTTATTGATGTGAAATCAAGAGAAAAACAAGATTTTGACAAATATTACAGGTTTAAATTTTCTAAAGTGAAAAAAATGAGAAACTGAAAAAAAAATGACAAATAAATGTTCATTTTGTTCTATTTATGTCTACAGATACG